CTAGATGCTGCCGGCCAACGCCAGGGCGCCTCGCAGCCAATTTTGGTTCGGCCTCCCTGACCACCGGAGAGACCCGGCTTCCCGCAACGTCCAGCTCCCTCATCGAGCCAGAAATGCGGGGCCTCCGAACAACCGAAGCGGCTTTCGTCGGACTCGCGGCTTATCAAGAGCAGCAACAAGCCATCAGTGAGCCCCTCCCGTACCTCTGACCTCGCACTCGGGCATCGCACCCAGCGGACACTGTCACGCACTTTTCCGCCCCTCCGCGCAGTGGACGCTATCCCCCTTCAGCACCACGAACACTAGTGCCACGTTTCTGTGCTCCCTTCCGCAGTTATCTTTATAGTGTCGTGTGTTTATTTTGTTATTTATGTTTTTGTTTCTCCTTTGTAATCATTTTTTTAAGCAGCAGTAGCAGGGCTGGACTGAGGTTAGCTGTCGCTCATAGCAGTGTCATTTTAACTGCATGGGTGACGTCCGGCTGCCTTTTGCAGACCGGTAAAGGGCAAATTTAGGAGAGGGGGATGTGGGAATTGAGACTGGCCCGCTGCCTTTGCGCGGGCTTTGCCGCCTCTTCTACCATTCTCATGTCCCGACATGTCTGCCCTCCTTTGCTGTCTGCCGCGCTGGGAAGGGCGGAGTGACGTTTAACTCCCTCACCCGGTAGCGGATGTTGACTGTGGCGCCGCGCGCGGGGACTGGCAAGAGGTTTTCGCGCGCTGCGTCGGGAGCGGTGAGTACAGTCCGGGACTTCAAACGGTGAGCCACGCATTCTTTTCCGTCCGTCGAGTCCCGTCGCTCGGGGCTCGTCGGACTTCGCTGACGGCGCCTCGCGCCCGATGCGAACGCTCACCTTTTGTTGCCCCGCTGCGTACTCACGGCCGAAGGGCAGTACGGTGTCCTAGTGCGTGGCCTAGCTACGCCGACCCGTCTCCCTTCGAAGCCAACGCGAGCGCCTTTGCCCTCGCTCGAGCAACCGGGCCCCTTTGTCCCGGTGTCTCCGTGGATTACCTTTACCGCGGAGACGTGCTCGTGGCACCCTGTGTAGTACTTTGTGCCCGTGGCGTGGATAAGCCTACTTGCTTTCCCGCCGCGCCTATTTGCAACGGGCTGTACTGCGTTTGGTGTTGCCACAATAAAGTGTTGCGACTTGAGCAGTATCGTGTTTCCCGCCACGGCGACGGTTAACGCGTGCCCTGCGGCTCGCTAAGACCGGACCCACGCTGGTGGCCGTACTCCTTCGGGATACGTGTACACCACAACTTCAGGGAAAATGTGCGATTTCAGCACTGATTTTGGCTCAAATTTAGCTAAAAAGCACCGTATAAAGGGTGTTAGCGGCTAAAATAATCATATTATAGGTATGAAATTCACAATATAAGTGCACTAGTAGCTGTAGATTTCAAAAATGCAATAAAAAAAAAAACGACCCTTTTCGCAATTTTTCGGTCTCCACAACCCGTGTCCCCCCCTTAATGCCCTAGTGGGTATCAAGCAAGTGTGCTTGCAGTAGTTCCAATTCGTGTTTTGAAAAGGCTCTGAAAAGCCGCTCTTCTAGCTTTCACCGAGACTATGCTGCGCCTTCCGTGCAGGCCTGGCGCTTTTTTATTTTGTACTCGCTAGAAATACAGTAGACTCTGGGTGTTACAAATCTCAAAGAGAAGTGAAATACTCGTATCACCAAAAATTGTGAAAAATTCATTTTGAAACCACGATATATGCACGGAGCATTTATTTCAATCGAAAGAACTTGCACACCTTTCTGAGGCACAAGCGATTTTTGGGGTCCGTATATAAGTACAGGGCAGAAATTTTATATCATACAACTTCGAAAAGAAAAACACGCCAGACTTTACAGTAAAAGCTCGTTAATTCAACACCCGTTAATTCGGAAATTCGAATCATTCGGACGGCTCTATTGGTCCCGGCCGAAGTGTATGTTAATCTGTGGGACCAAACCTTTGTTATTTTGTCGGGATTCGGCTCCGCACCGCTTAATTCGGACAAATGCTGACGGCTGCTGCTACACAAAAGTGTGATAAAGCAGCGCTGGCACCACTGAAGTGAAACCGAAACCTGAGTGGCATCGCCATCACCGTCAACTAGTGGGGGCGATCGCAGCGTCACTGAACATCGGCGTCTTCTTTCTTCTCCACTCAGCGCCTCCGACGCCATTTTCCCTTGTGTTGTCGTGTCGGCACCATCTCTTCTTGCGGAGTTCTCTTTTTCTTCCATTGTGACCGTATTTGCATGCCACCACCATCGTGCGCTGCAGTGATGGCAACGCCGAAAAAGCGGCAGAACTACGACGCGAAGAACTTGGCGACTAAAGTGAAAATTTTGGAAGCACTGAAGAACGGCGAATCGCGATGGCAAGTTATGACAAAGTACAATGTGAAGCGGAGCACGTTGGGAACGTACGTGAAAAATGAACAACAGATTCGACAAGCCTTCGAAAGCGAGAAGTTTCATGCCTCTAGAAAGCGGTTGCGAACCGCAGCTCATCCCCAGCTCGAAGAGGCTTTGCTCCGGTGGATTACTGACTGTCGCAACGCACATCTGCCTTTGAGCGGACCTCTAATCATGGCGCAAGGTGAGAAGTACGCTGCAATGATGAACATTGAATCGTTCAAAGCGTCAGAAGGGTGGTTTGCGAGGTTTCGAGAGAGACACAAACTTGTCTTCAGGAGTGTGTGCGGCGAAAAGGCCAGTGTTGACGAAAGCGTGACCACCGAGTGGAGAAATGTGAAGCTGCTGGAGCACATCGCCGCATATGAGCCACGTGACGTGTTCAATGCAGATGAAACTGCTCTATTTTTCAGAGCTCTGCCCGACAAGACGGTGACTTTCAAAGGGGATGCGTGGATTGGTGGCAAGAAGTGCAAGCAAAGGATAACTGTGCTTCTTGCCGCCAATATGACTGGCACGGAGCGCTTGCCACTACTTGTCGTCGGGAAGGTGCTTTTAAGCCACGTTGTTTTAAGAACGTCAAAAGCCTTCCTGTCGAGTACACAGCGAACAGGAAGGCATGGATGACATCGGACATTTTTCGCGGCTGGCTGCAGCAGTTGGACCGGCACTTCATGTCGAAGAACCGCAAGATAATTATGGTTGTTGATAACTGCAGTGCCCATAACTGTACAGTCGAACTGAAGAGCATCAAAGTAGTTTTTTTGCCGCCCAACACTACGTCTGCTCTTCGGCCGATGGACCAGGGTATCATTCACCACGTGAAGTCGAAGTACCGCAAGCACCTGCTAGAGCGAATGATCCTATGCTCAGAAGCTGAAAAGTTGTATTAAGTGGACTTACTCGGTGCAGTGCACATCATCGCCCACGTGGGGAAAAACACTCCGCCGCAAGTCATCGCCAACTGTTTTCGGCACAGCGGTTTTGTGAGGCCCGAGCATGCAGCAGTAGCTGACGATGGCATCGAGGAGGCGTCAGCCGAGTCCACCGACGATGACTGCCCGACTTTCGATGCTGTCCTTCCCACAGATGTCACCTTTCAGGGCTACATCGCGATTGATCATGGTGTCGCCACGAGTGGTCTGCTGACCGATCGAGAGATTATTAATGATGTCACGGGCACCCATGACGACAACAATTCCGACGAAGAATCATGCGAGGAGATACGTACAGCCGCGACCTCATCGCACCTCACGGGAAGTCTCGGAGGCGCTGTTAATATTAGAGGACGCTTGCTTGAACACTCCCGACAGCTTGCGTGCTGTTGGCCATTTGGAACAGTTAAGAAAAATTGTGATGTCAGCCGGAATCTGCGCGAAAACGCAGACGACAATTACAAAATACTTCAACAAATAAAGGTATGCTTCTTGCAGCTTGATTTCAAATGTTGTTTTCCCTGTTCATTCGTTAATTCGGCATTCGGTTAATTCGGACAGTTTTTCTGGTCCCGTGAAATCCGAATTAACGAGCTTTTACTGTAGTATGAGGGTTTATACAGTATTGCATGTCTCAAAGGGCAGCGTACACGCATGGTGAAGGATATGTATGTGAAAACACAGTGCACGACTTTAAAAATAAATGTAGAGCGCAAAAAAGACGAGACACAGGAGACAAGCAGACAGGAACGGGCGTTCACTACCAACCGATTTAGTTACAAAAGAACTGTGGGAAACAAATGCAGATGCTACACCCCAAACGCGGCTGATATAAAACACTAAAGCTGCTTATTTAAAACACCGAAGCATATTGCGGCATAGCAATTGAAATTCACACTCTCGCAAACACACTGACGTCTCGTTGACGCAATCTTCACCCTTCAATATCAGGTGGTACGCCTCTAACAATTAACGAGCAACCGTTTCCCTGCTGTATCCCAGCACCTTCAGTCAAGCAAGAAAAGGCACACAGGCACACACTGCACAGTGTGTAGAAAGGCGAGCGTCCTCATCGTTCAAGAGCAACAACTAATGCTCCCAGGCCCACTGGTTTACACACTTTCTTGTTTGGCCGATGCACGATTTGCCACAGCTCAATGGCAATTCATATACCACCTACCCCACACAGTCCACGTAACGCCTAGCGTGCGTGGACTCAAACCTCAATGCACCGAACTTTTGTTGTAACCGATAATGAAATATAGGTTATAGCAAAGTATACGAAGTGATGTTAATTTAATGTAGGGTTTAATTTCCCAAAACCACCATATGATTACAAGAGACGCCGTAGTGGAGGGCTCCAGAAATTTTGACCACCGGGAGTTCTTTAACATGCACCCAAGTCTAGGCACATGGGCCTACAGCATTTCCACCTCCATCAACAATGCAGCCGCCAAAGCCAAGATTCGATACCCCAACCTGCGGGTCAGCAGCCGAGTACCTTAGCCTAGACCTCCGCGACATGAACTTTTTTTCCTTCATGTATTCACTGCAAAGTATTAAAGAAAATATTCTAAAAATATTCGAATTCACTTTGCACCCAAAAGTTTGCTATTCTCACAGCTCTGCCTATCAAGATTTCCGCTGGTATCTCACCATCCTCCTTGTTGGCGCCTTCCTTGTTGATCTTGGCGGCGTCCCCACCTGCGGACGCGGCAGCCGCCTCTCTCTTTTGCCGGGCAACAAATGCATGGTGGTGCATGTTGAACAGCACGGCATAGACCATTTGCCGGATGGGCCGGAACAGGGTCACTCCCCAGGGGATGTCGCGGGGAGCCTCATCTTCAATAGCCACTGGAATCTTGATGGCACCCTGTTACGAGGGAACCACAAGTGTCTTGTCAAATTCGCGGCAAGACAGTTAAAGACCACATCAAAACTAGTCAGTTGGTTGAAAGAGCAAGTCACTCTCGTGAGTAAAAGGGAGCTTAATGCTAAAAGAAAAGACAAATAGAAAAAAAAAAAAGCCAGGTCGTCCATATGGAACTGATTATTGACAAGCACACCTCACTTTACATACTTTGAACCGTGGTCCTTCTACAAGACCTTGAAAGCACTTTGGTATCTAACCATATACAGTCAATCCCGGATATGTCAAGCTCGGATATATTAAATCACTGGCCATATCAAAAAGTTGAAAAAGTATGGGACTGCTGCATACGTATATCGAACTCTCGCATAGCGGGACATTCGCTATATCGAACGCTGCACCATGCTGAAGCCCAGATAATTCACTTTTTCTAGCAAATATCGATCGATTTTCAGCTGCGTTCTAACAAGCTTCGATCCTTTTCGTGCGCAGATGGTAAAAAGTGGTGTCATTCTATTGTGCTGATCTGGTTCGTTGCACGGCGCTTGCGAGTGCAACTGTATGTTTGATGCGCGATCTGCAGGTCTCAATGCGCGGGCATAGTGTTTTTCAAAAAGCCCAATTGCCGAGGACACCAAAATGAGAACATGAGGTGCCCCGGTGATCTTGTTGCAATGCTCGCATTCCCTTGTTTGTTGGCACTCAGTGGCATATGAGCCTGAAAAGCATGGCCTTTGAGATGTGCATTCTCGCGACGCATTTTTAGTGCTTTCGGTTCTAAAGCGCATGTCTCAGAGGCTACACTTTTTCTAGCCTTTAACATCAAACCAGCTGAAATCTGCAGCTGCCAGCTACAAAGCCACACGTGACATCGATATCGCCAACGTGTTGACAATGGGAACTCTCTGCTGCCGTTTGTCCCGTGTAGACTTCTCGCCTCGTTCCTGATAAATCCTTATTCGCGAGTTGAACTGAACGTTGACCAGCATGTAGCGATAAGAATTATGACTGGCGCTTGGAGCGACGTCAAGTAAAGCATCGTGGTAAACTTTCTTTCGGGACAAAGTGACGACTTTGGGTGCGTCATGACCGCTGAGAACGTTGTTCGGTTCCTAGTGAATTCTGCACCTTATCAGCGTTTTCAGGCACCATCCGAGACATTGAGCGATTTCATCGGTGCAGATGACCAACGTAGCTGTTTCTGACTGCATCAATGCTGAGATCATGACTTCCGTTGCCGGTGCAGCGGAAGTATAGCCGTGCGGTTATGAATATGCCTACACCTCCTGTGTCCCTGCTAACCAACATTTTGCTGCGCTTTAAAGCTGGCATCAGTGTTATGCGTCAATGCTGTTGTGGCCAAAAGAACCAAATTCACTTATTTGAAAAGCTTCAGTGATATTGAGAATGACTGGAACTTGCCGGCGCGCAAGAAGCATGACAATTTTACGAACTACTTTCATGCAGAATAAAGTATGATAACTTGCAGTTCACACCCTGTTGTTCATTATACTGTGAGAAAATCATTATGTTAGCACATGTAACAAATCTCCGAAGCCTAAAATGCTTCGACTTAGGCCTTAAATAAGCATATTTTGAATTAAGAATTATAGATATATCAAACTACTTTGCCATCCCCTTTGAGTTAGATATACAGTCGAACTCCGCAACAACTAACGCCACTTTAACGAAATTTCCGCGACAACGAAAAATTCACGATTCCCCGTCACCACTCCATGGCAGTCAATGCATTGTCGCCACAAAGACTCCTTTTTCTTCTATTGTCTCGCTTGAACGAAACCTTACGATGCAATTTCAGGCTCGGATACTTATTTCTATGCAGTAAACCCAATCTTTAACATTTCGATGCATTTTCAGAGCCCGAAAATGCGTCAGCGAAGTCTAAAATCCGCGTTGGCACTACCAAAAACCGCCGCTGCTCAGCAAGCATGGGCACCGCCATTGCTCGGTAGCGATGGCAATGAGACTGCCCTGCAAGAGTGTAGTAACTGTAGCCCTACTTTTGCCACTGGCTTGATAGTGAGCCACAGACGTTTCGAAGCTGAAGCTCAGTTCATGGTTTCCTTCATGCAGCTGCTGAGTGCAACTGCGGAACGATGCCTTTCCCAATTCCGATGCTCATCATTATCTTCGCGCTTCCATCTACTGTGATAGGCAAGACTGCAATAGCTAGTAGCAGCCATGAGCTCGCTATGCAGCAGGTGGCACTCCAGCATCTGACAATCATTAACCACCTACTCTAAAATATGGCGGGCGGTTAGCTTATGCCATGTTTGGCTAGGCCTTGCAATAGGATGTGACACACCAACCTGCGACAGCAGCTGGTAGATCCAGGGGGACATGAGACCCTTCTGGTGCCGCTCGCTCGCTGTCCGCATCACCTCCGGAGGAACCTTGGGCAGCTTGGGGGTCTCGGGCATGATGAACGAACCACCAGGAATTCGAGCCTCAGCTCCACCGCTGCTGCCGGCACTCGTTGGCTCGCCACCAGCGCTAGCTGCACCGGCACTGCCCTTCTGGCCCTGTCAAAGAAAAGATGAAGAAGAAAGAAAGAAAAACAATATACAAGTTGAAGCACATGACTCATCCCCAACAGGACTGTAGAGAGACGGGGGTATCTAGATTCGAACAATTCCTTTGGAAGCGCTCTGCCTGATCATATCTCGCCTACTACGCAGTAACATTGCTGTAGTGAACACGGACCCCCACATCCCCACGAACAGTGTTGTTCTCAACAACTAGTTTGTTGAGAAACAGCTAGCCAAGACCAAAGGCTGCCAAGATTGTATATCAGGAATTGGGAAGGACTGACGAAGCAGCATTGCCATCCGTTTATTGCTTTTACTGCAATTGCATACAAATTCACAGCAGAGTTACCTGCTCAGCATTGCAAAAATGTCACCCGTCTATAAAGTTTGACGTTTGTATCTTCCAAAAATACTGTACTTGAATGCATGATTACAATGTTACGGCTACTGTCAAGTTCAAATCAAAACAAATCAAATGAAATCTTTATTTCTATCATGTACAATTTCCCTGATGGATTACAACCATAAAAAAGCAGCCGAAAAGCAGCTTGACAATTCTGTAGCCCAACGTAATCTATGGTGTGTGGGCAACTGCAAAGGAAAGCAGTTAACAAACGAAAACGTATGATTAGTGCAGAACAAAAACAGTCTGCAGAAAAAAAGCATACAAGAATGCAACACAAAGATCAATAAAATTAGTTTTTTTACACAAACATAGATTTAGGGGAGCTGAGGAACAATAAAACAAATCGAAATCAATTAATGGAAGATAGTTTAACAATGATGATAAAAAATAACACAAACGCTCTATGCCAGTATTTGCTAGAACTTCGGAGAAACAATGGCGGCACAAGCTACCGAGAGCTGCAGTTCCGCAGTAACTTCAATTCTCTATGCACTATAAATATTGGTATAGGCAATTTTACGTCCCAAAACTACGATATGATTATGAGATATGCCTAGTGTAGAGATCCTGAAATTTTGACCATATGGTGTCCATTAACATGCACTGACATCGCACAGTACACGGGCCTCTAGTTTGTTGCTTCCATCAAAAATGCAACCACTAAGGCCAGGATCAAATTAATGGCCTTCGTGACGGCATTCGAGAGCCATAAACCCTGCTCCATTACGGCGGACTCATGCACTGTAGCCCAAGAAACGAGTTCCCGCAACGGCCAGCCGACGTCCCAAGAGCGAGGCTCACCTTTCGCCCTTGCCAAGATTTGGGGCTCTGGCGGCCGGGGCTGGAGCTGTTGCTGCTCGACGAGCTTGGTCCCAGGGGCCCACCATTCACGTGTGCTGTGCCGTTTGGCTGTGAGACATCTGCAGTGCAAGTCATTCATGAAGACCATTGAGAACCATGCACTTTGCTTTCGCGGCAGTCGAAGGCACAACGCCATCAAAAAATGAAACGTGATAGTTGCCGCAAACAAGTACAGTTATTTATTTTTATTTTCTGCTGGTAGGAAAGTACAGTGGCATCCTGCTGACACGTTTTTGAAGGGACCGTAGGAAATAAATACAAGAGCCGGGAAATGCATAAACTGAAAAACAGAAAGAATGTAGAATAACTGAATAATTGTGAGCCGTAGCTCCTCCTTCGTTTGTCATGCATATTTAGAATGTCTCTGAGAGGACATGGCTTGCCTCATTGTGGCAGGCAAATGTGAACAGAGTACAATAACGCAGTGTGCGTTAAGGGGGGACGCGGCTTTGGGATCGCGAAAAATGGCAAAAAAATCGATTTTTTGAAACTCAAGTTTTCAGTTTCTGGAACCCTTTTTCTATCTGGTTCCAAAATATCTACACTGAAAACCGCGCAGAAGTGCTTCGGAAAATTCGTTTTACCCACCTAGGCAGCAAAAATATTTCTGGAAATGGCGAGAAAACGGCGATTTTCAAAAAATAATAGCTTCGCTATGCTTGGGCCGGGAGCCGGCTTCTTGGGCTCATCGGAAAGAGCATTTTTCCGTGTTTAACTTTCCCGCCTCAGCTGGCTCCTCCCTTTAACAACAAGCGAGCAAAAAGCAAATGTTTGAAGGTCGTTTTGAGGCCCTTGATTGGCCGTGGCCGCCATGTTGCCTCAGCTCGCCTCGCCATTGGCCTGATGCTCGCTCCGGGAGATCGTCGTCTGCTGCTTGTGCGTCGCGAGGACATGGCTCTCGAAAATCGCCACTTCGTGACGTGTTCACGGCTTGATAATCACTTAAGATATAACTACGCTTTAGTTACAAGCAGTAAGCGGATGCGCGATCAGGTTACTACGAGCGTCAGCTAGGCCTACGAGCGCCGCGCGTCACTGAAGTCGTCTTTAGCCCTAACTCCGCCGACTGCGGGCAGGAACGACCCGCTAGCGCATTCGTGGCGACGTGTTTCTTCGCAAGCAACAAAGCTGTAAGCGGCGGCACGATCTGATTACTACGAGTGGCCGCACCGGATGCACGATCAGATTACTACGAGCGGGCGCGCGGCGGTCTACGAGTGCGGCGCGTCATCGGAGTCGGCTTTAGGCCTAACTCCGCTGACAGCGAGACTGCGGGCAGGAACGACGCGCAAGCGCACTCTTGGTGACGTGCTTCTTCGCAAGGAATGTACCACATCACTCGCTAGCTCCTCAGAATCATGTACGGGCATTTTACGCATCGGCAGCGGACAACACAGTCAAGCTCATCACCCCCCCCCCCCCCCCGCTTCACTGCCAAGGATCGCTCGGAACAGCGGCTAGCAGTTTCGCGCGTCGTCGTCATTCGAAAATGCGATGCCAAGTGCAGTGCGTGCCGATTTTTTGTCTTCGTAGTTACTCATTTCGCGGATCGTCATCGAACGCTGCCGGCAAGTGCATTACGTGCCGGCTGCACTGTCCACGCGGCCGCGTACCCCACGGTCATAATGATTGATTGATTTGTGGGGTTTAACGTCCCAAAATTACTATATGATTATGAGAGACGCCGTAGTGGAGGTCTCCGGAAATTTTGACCACCTGGGGTTCTTTAACGTGCGCCCAAATCTGAGCACACGGGCCTACAACATTTCCGCCTCCATCTACCCCACGGTCATATGGAGTGCCGTCAGTAAGCTTTTGTGATGCGATTCAGACGTGCTTGGAGCCGTGCTTGATATCTCCACGAACGTCTATGAATGTTCCGAGGTTAATGAATTGCTGTAGATTAGAATTTCCGCGACCGGCTGTATGATGATGCGTTTCACAACTAGAGCGGCGAAAGAGCATGTGTGAATCAGGGGCACGAATATTTATATGCCCGTTTCGTGTCATTAATTATACTGCTAGAAATTCCCGTGCCACCAGTCTTCTGCCTATAACTTTGTTATTTGGAAAGAAGGCATAGGCCGTCATGGTGTGATCCATTTTTCGGATGCAATAAACTTCTCTCCAAATAAAAAAAAGTTCAGTGAATATTTGTAGTCAAGTACTTAATTACACTAATTACAACTTCAGCACAAAAAGTATGTTTAATAATTTCAGTATATGGTTTTATTCAATTACAATCTTTTCTGTCATACTTATCACACCACTCTTTCATACAAAGAACTTGGTTTGAAATTCATACTTGTTCTTTGTAACTCATGAAAAGGAGTAAATCATGAAAAGAAGTCAAATATCACAAGACAAACCTGAGATCACAATTTTTAGGTGTCTTAGAGACGTGAAGAAAAGTTGAAACTTTAAACGCAGCTTTCTCAATACTGTTTTTTTTTTTTTTTTGACATTATGCTCAGTCCCTCCACATGGTTCAGTGAAGAAATAATTTGTTTCTCGTAAAGTATTTGTGGTATCGCTTCAAAATTTTTATGAAAGCACTGTGAGGTTATTCTTAGTGTCTGTGCCAATTTTCATCAATATCCAACGAGAAACAAAAAAGTTAATTGAAAAAAAGCCTGTCGAAAACTTCGACAGGCTTTTTCTCACAAGTGTGTTCTGGACATTGTGCATTGCTCGTGGAAAGAGTAGCACGAGAATGACTGGACCGATTTTGATTCTGTTTTTTTTCCCTGAATCCCTGAACACTGCTTGTGGGTACAGCAATCTTCAATTTCTGTTTCGTGGCTCTGTTATTTTTCTAGACGATGATTTGTCCGTGCCATTGTTTCTGACGATGTGTGTCGGCAGCCATGATGATCTCTAAAAAAAAAACGAGAACTTATTAAAAAATTCCGAGAGTGTCATACCCTGTAGCTTTCTTTTGAGTAAAGATCAACATCATTCGCAGCTTCCTGGCATGTTTTGTTGCAGGGCTAGGCTTTCCACGAGCAGACCATGTAATTGGATCGTGTAGCATTATGTAACTTGAGAACTACTGAAGCTATCATGATGAAACTGCATATTTCCCTATTCTAGACACTTATGAGTATGCATGCCGAATTTCATTGCTGTAGGTCAACAAATAAAAAAGTTTTTTTCAAAGCCACCTCCCCCCTTAATGCATGAAAACAAGGAACAACAACAACAGAAAAAGCGACACCTACACCATCTGTAATCTAAAACGCTGGCACACGAAGATGCATTAGAGTCCTATTTCGAGAATACAATACTACTTGTATTCTCGAATACTATTTCAAGAATACAATGCTTCGCTGGCAATTCACCAAACCTGCAGAAAAGGAAGCATGCCCGCACCTGTTAGCATTTGGGCAGTCTTGCAAATTTGCACAAAACAATGCGGGCTGAAAATTGCTTACCAACACCCACACTCTCGCTCATTGCAGGCAAATGGGCCTTGGCCGGGACCACAGCAAAATTCGTATCAATTCGAAAATTCAAATTATTCTGAAAAAGATTGTTAGACGAGTAGTTGGACGCACCGTTTGCATCTGCCGCGACGCTGTCGTCCTCGGCGTGGCTTACGCGCAAATCCAGTGGTTCGCCTGGCTTGTAGGCACCGTTCACGATACTTCCATTGTGACTAGCCGTCGGATAACCGCCGCCCGTAGCCTGGCGGTATGCCGTCAAACTTGACAGCTATCAATGAAAGGGGGCGGAATGAAAGACTGAATATTTCAGAATTTGAAAGAGAATTATGGCCCATTCTTTCCCTGACCTCATATCATATTTCACATATGCACTTGAATGAATTATACTCCAATGTTGTTCAAACGTGCTACGCTCAAAACTCTACTAGAACCTTGAAATAATGTATATTGAATACATACATGCAAAGTCACGCTCAATACGAATTGCAACATGCCATTTGGACTTCAAAATGATGTCAACATTGCAAATTGGCACCTACACAGAAAAAAAGATCTCTAAATAAACTTTCTCAGGGGTATTTTCCGACCTAACGTAACGTTTGTCGGTGTCACTATTCAGGCTTGGGATCACTTTAACCCAAGCCAACATGTTGCTACTCATATTGAGCACAACTATCTTGTCCGCACACATTAAAACACGATAATTTAGGGCTAGGTTGTCCACACACTTTGATAAGCAAAAGTCAAAACAATTTTTTCTCTGGACAAATGATTGAATGCTTTAAAATATGCATGGCACATCCAAAGAGGGTGGACGCTACAGAAAACGCATCTGGCTGTAGCCATTCGATTGCATGAATTGATATCCCCATCACTGACACAGCGACAGTCCTGCAGACTGCCATAAAATAGAAGACCGATTCACCTGCCAAGTTTGTTTATGGCAAAAAACAGCCACGACGGACACTGTTCAGGCTGTAAGCTTAACTTCCTTAATCTTGTCCACAAATCACACATGAGCTAATAATGCAATGATATTTGTGGATTTTAGCATTGCATACAAGCTTTCCAGATTCCAATTTCGATGCTTTCCTCAAAAGGGGAAAAGAAAAGGTGGGGTGGAGGGATCTGGCTGTAGAGGCATTAAACTAGACGCCTCCAGCAGTAAGAAAATTTTTTTCTACGACTTGCTACAATACTGTCTAGTACTGTCAAATTTTACTTGGGTCATTTAACCCAGCTGATTATAACCAATGCCTGAACAAAAGAAGGGGCACTGTGTGAGGGGCTTGTTTCTTTGTTGGACACAACCAAATGAATCCAACAGACAATTAGACCAAGAAAAGCATAGGGACCATTATGTGTTGCGTTTAGCTATAGTGTAGTAATTATGACATGAAATGAAGTTGAGACAATTAAAACCGATGACTGAAGTTTTAGAATGCCTTCATACTATTTTTCTTCTTCCTTCAATTTAGCTGCTGAGTAATGAGAGTTGCAACCCCCTCAAAAAATAATGCTTGTTTGCTCCAACCTCTCTCTCTGCCGTCTCGGATGCAAATTTGGCTGGATCTGATCTCTGCAGGCCGTCTTCTCCAGGTGATAAGTCAAGGACGGGCGAGGAAGCATCAGCTGTGCGAGCCAAAACACAAAAACAAAAGCTGGAAAAACACAAATAAAACTGGTAGCAGCTTCTTCCCTGCACTGTGATATTATTCGGAGCGTTCGAAGCATCCTTCACTGCAGTGCATTATGTGAAATAGAACTTCTTTCAGTTTCATTTCATTCCACTTTATTCGTGCCCTATGTTAGCATGAACTGTTAATATGACAAAGTTTCTTAGAAGCAGAGAACTCAGGACTATGATCTCTTGCTTATTTCTCAAGTCCTTGTAATCACAAAGCAATAAAATGTGCAAAAATGTTTTACAAGCAGTTGTGCACAGTTCTTTATTATCTCTTATCTAATAGCTACAAAACTGGGTGGAAAAACTTTCTTCTGTGCACATTCAACATTTCAACAAGCACACCATTTTCTGCAACTAGAGACAATACTATGTCTCATTCTTTCCAACAGTTCAACATAATTTTATGCCTGCAAGCTGGCCATCCTAGAGCATGTTCCAATTTCATTTGGCGCTCGTAAACAGGCTCCTATAATCTCCTCTATATTATGTGCACAGGTCAAATCCATATTATCACGCTCATCGCAAGAAAACAGGACAACTTGTTTTAGGTATGTCCCCATCAACTCCGTTCCTATATTTTTTTTTAGTTTCATTTCATCTATTCAACCTTCGTCTATTCCTTAGCCTCCTTGCAAGCTTCTTACTATAGCTTCTCAAACCAACCTCTTAGCCCGTCCAAACAAAATGCACTACGTTTCTAGCCTTTTTTTTTTCCTTTTCTAGAACACAACTATGTGTCCCTCGCAAAAGCAAAAGAAGCGAAGTCAAAATCATGCACAGCACATGATTCCATTGGTTGCTTGACGCACGTGCCCAAAATGGTGTTTCCCGATTGGCCAGGAAAACTCATTCGCAGCGTCTGCCGCCATTTTGAAAAGGTATCGCCATTGCGAAGGTGTCGTGACTCATATCCCTAACGTGCTTGTGCATCTCGCTATGCCCGGCGGTGCGAAAAAGTTCCGATCGCAGCATTATTTTGGACGTTCACGGAAGAAAGGCAGAAGTAGAAAGCCCAATGTTGCTGCTACTGTGTACGCGGGAGCAAGCGCCGGCGTTTGTTCAATAACGCCGTCTTGGTAACGACTATGTAACCTAAGACAGTTACTCGTGCATGTGTGGCGTGGACGCTGGCCGCCGGTGTACTGAAGATGTTATCAATAGAGGAATGTGCGAGACGGCATCCCTAGATAATGGACGCTCTGTGGATTATGATTGCACCGATCCTATCGGCAACGGTGAAGCACGCATAGACACGCGCCTCCCTGACAGCGTGCGCAATGTCGATTCCGGTCGTGTGCGGATAGATGCTGATGTGATCAATGCCAGAGAAGTTCGCAAAGCGCGCGCCCGCGTGACAACCACGACGTTTGAGGGTCTTTAATCAGTGTCGGCAACGACGCGAAAAATTCAGCGCTTACCGGAGTCAAGTGCTGCGGCAGCGAGGCAAGATGCCAGCAGGGCAAGACTCGGAATTCACACGAAAACCTCCAATCTGCGATTTAGAGTTTGGTATCAAAGGAGCAGCACGCTTTCTTTTTGCTGTGCAAGCTGGTGTTGCAGAAGCTGTGCTGCGCTTCAACACGGGCAATGTCAATGAATTTGCTGCAACTCTAGAGCAGCTGGACATCACGATATTCAGCAGTACATCCCTGAAGGCTAGGGAAAAGGACTGTCGTCATAGTGTAACCTCAAATAAATAGGGAGAAGCGTCCCAGAGTCTGAGAAAGCTAGTCAAGAAGAAGCATAAGGATGGGATGCGTCTGGATTATGCCCCTGGTGCAGTTTCATAAGATTTTATTAGTATTTTTCCAATAAACGTGTTCTGAAATGTTTTTCCCCATTTTCTCTAAACAGCAATATTGGCACGTTTGCCAAGTTGGAGGGAAAATAACTTCTGTTCCAATCGAGCTATCACCATAATTTTTTTTGCTGTAAAGATAAATGCATGCAGTATGCAATATGCCTATTTTGAAGGTAATATACAAATCAAATTTTTTGTTTTTAATTGGGTCACTGTGTGACAGGTGAAGGTGTTTTTTTTTTTTTGTGAACATTGATGTCCTCAAACTCTTGTTCAAGTTGGCCCAGCAAACTTATTTATAGAACTTTGCACTTTTTAAACATCCTATATTGTTTCTACACTGTTGCAAATGTTTTGGAGCTTCCTGCTTAGATGCTAATTAGGCTCCAAACAAAGGACCCCGGTTATAAATTCATTGTGAAGTATCTTGGAAACTACTTGACCTATCAAAAAAGCAATTACATTTTTAGAATCTGCATATCTAAATACACAAACAGTGAAAATGTTGTTCAGATCTATACAAAAATAAAAACGTTGACCATCAAGTGTAGCCTCCCCCTTAACAGTCTTGGTACAAAATATTGAAGAGAAACAGGAGGGGACCGTTTGTACAATGCTGTTTGGTTTGACCAAGCTGAACTTTCGAGGTTGAATGCGCTAAATGCAAGAGTATGTCCCATTTCAGCGTTTATTTTCTGCTAATAACTAAGTTTCAAAGACAGTAGCGTAGCTGTACACAATGGTAGCAACTCTAGTTTCTTTTGGCTTCAAAATTCTACTAATAATATACAGACAACCCTGTTTCCTTCCCACCCTTTGGGTAGAAACTCTTGCACAGTCAAGCAGAATCGAGATTAGACGCACCTTTCCCATTGACCACTGGCTGCTCAGAGATTGGTGGCAGCCCCGATGAAGAGCCAGATGTGGATGGGTAGCAGCCGGACTCGTGCCGGCGCCCCTGGCTCGAGGGCCGGTAGCGCAAGAACCCGTCTCTGGTACCGTTCAGGTAGTAGTGCACACAGTTCTTGAGCCGCTGCACCTTGTCTCGGGGTGCGCCGGGGAACACTCGCGCTCCCAGGGCGTCCAGGTCTTCCGTCGAGGGCAGGCCTCGCACAAACTCGACCACCGCGGGGATAAGGGTCTCCGGAGGAATTGCCTGCCCAGATACGAAAATTGTGACTCAATATACATATATCGAGAATTTCTTCTGCGGATCCAGTACTTTGTATGCATTGAGAAACGACGGACAGTCGTGCGGAAATGTTTATTACTTCCTACGATTCAGCAGGAGGGCCCACCTTCGTCAGGGAATGAATATATATATATATATATATTTTTTTTCGAGGGACTGGATTGCATGATCACTTTCAGAGACATAACACAGCACTACAGATTAAACAGATTCAAATATTCACCTCCCCACAACAAACTAAACATGAAACAGGAGGTTGCCCAGAGACAATTGACTTGAAACTAGTGATCCTATGCCTCTGTTCAGCTGACATTTATACACCCGAAGACTGTAAACTATGTGGTGCCAGAGAAACACCGCAGCACATGCTGTACGAGTGTACCGATAGCGAGCACCAGTCCCATAGAAATTAAGTAGACATGGCAGTCTCGAACCGTGAGGCGCGATGGGAGGTGGCTTTGCTCAGCCACGGCATCAACTGTAGGCCGTTCGGCATGCCCTGGAAGCCGTATATGTTCATGGACTCGAGGCAGTCACCGAAGCTCGGGTCCTTGCAGCCCCACCCCGCTAAAAAGTGCCGGCATTCACAATAAAGTTTTCACTTCCTCACTCGAGAGACTCTCACAGTCCAAAAAACAATTAAATCATGGCGTTTCATGTGTTTCATGTAAAACATATTTACGAGGTGCGCGTTTAGGGCTCTGGTAAGGAGTACTGCCACAAAATTCCAAGCACTTGTGGGACAGACTTGGGAGGAAACACATGCATCATCCACAATATAAGGAAGGCCAATATAACACAGAAACCTTTTGAAATAAATTTTAATGCGCGTGTTTAGCAACTGCATGCGGAACACCGGACCTCATGACATCGATGCCAACTTGCTTTGAAGGTAAAGAACCTGCATCAGGGGTATGTTTTGGCAGCCATGCTCCTAGCAGACCCTTCCAGGGAAAAGAGGAAGCACCTCCTCATGTGAACTCGCACATGAATACAAAGGTTTACGTCCATGCCCCGGCAGTGCATTCCTAGGGGGGTCATGCACATTCTTGACATCACAGAAGGCACTTGGGAAGCCTTTACTGAAAAAGAGTTCCTCTTCTTTTGTACCCATGCAGTGCTCGTGCAAACACTGTTTCGTACCCTGATGTCTGCTATGTTCACATGAAAGCCCCGCTCGGTGCCGACTTCCTCAGTGCTCTCAATAATAATAATAATAATAATAATAATAATAATAATAATAATAATAATAATAATAATAATAATAATTGGGGTTTTACTTCCCGAGAACATGTGATTATGAGAGAAGTCCTAGTGTGGGCTCCAAAAATTTAGCCCATCTTGTGTTCCTTAAGTACACTGACATCACACAGCACATGCACTGCACATACAGCACAGACACTAGCATCTCGCCTCCACCGAAATGGGATCGCCACGGCCGAAATCGAACCCGCAACTTTTGGGTCAGTAGCCGAACACCTTAATTGCTACACCACCGCGGCAGACCTCTCAGCACTCTCCCAAATGGAAACTGCAACTGGATGCCACAAACGTCTCCAACCAATTAACTAGAGTGTGCTCAAGCAAACAGGCTTTCCAGCCTTAATAAATCCATCATTAACTACTTACTACAAAAAGAAAAAACCAGATGCAACATTCTTGGCTCAGTTTTTTTATAATTCTGACCGGATCTCGTAACAAAGAGTTGAATCCAAGAGCATCTGTTACATTTCAGCCCAGCGACATGTGGGCGACGTGGGTGGGAATCGAATCTGCACCCTTGCGCTCAGCAGTGCAGCAACCTTAGCCACTGGACTGCTGTGGTCGGTCTGCAATGCTGCACTTTGCTTCAACGTTACAATGGAACCATAATTCATATTAAAATCTTGCGAACGCAAGCGTATGAATGAGCAAACAAGAGTGCCACTAGCCTGAACACAACGAAGCATCACAGGCTGATCCATCTCAAGGATTTACACTTTCCAACCTTACAATTGCAGAAGGGGTAAGAAATGCCTCGACAAAAACCTACCCCTTTGGCAACGCAAAGCCAGTCGGTCTAAATAATAAAAATTGCTTCACTGCTCAAGACGTCAGCTATTCACTAAACAATTGACACGTTCGTTTCACCTCATAGAGGCAATGTACTTAACAAACATGACTAACCATCTGCATAGGAACGAGACTGTTCGCAGAACTTAGTAAGCATTCCCACTAGAGGAGACAAAAGTTCAGTTTCTAGGCTACATGCTGGTTACATGAAAGAACTGAATTGATGCGGACAACTCCAAACAACAAAGTGACGGAGTCTTTACGTCAAGCGCAAGCAAGATATTATGTGTCTGAAATAAAAAAATTTACTGGCATACAAAGCGCATTCCACATTACAGCTAGGAGAAACAAGGAGCACTGGCAGTCAGCTTTGAACTCTGCTCCCAAAAATGCTGAATAGGAAATTCAATGATGGCAAAGGAAATTTTCTTCACACACTTGAACGCGTTTTAACATTAAGCCGCAATTATCATTCCACAGCGGCCAATTGTGCCTCAGTTTTGTTTCTTCGATCAAAGTGATAAAACTGACATCCGCATGAAACTATTCAGCTTTAGCCTAGAACTTCTCTTACTTGCCAATTTGTTATTTCGAAACCCTACAAGCACAGGCATATTATACTCTGAGTAATATCTGATGTACTACCTGGTCACGTCTACGACTCTATTGTAAAACATAAGAAGGGTTAATGGGGCATTCAATTATTCAGTTGTCTGAAAACCAATGAATTTGCTCACCTCTGTGGACCAAAGCTAGCTATCAGGGCAAATTCCATGATCCTTATATCTGGTTTGGAAAAATCTGTGCACTAAAAACATATCCTCGAGTGATAAAAAAAAAAATCGTGTGCTTTTATAAAAGAAGTAAATAAACATAACAGCAGTGCTCAGAATGTTCTGAGCACGAGCAGTAATTATGCAAAAAAAAGTATATCTGGCCAAAATGAAACCTCAGGGTGAGAAAGTAAGCAAGTTGGCTGTTTAATGTTTGTAAGAACCAAAAAGCAAACACACAAGTCATTAACTGCAGCTAAAGGATTAAGGGAGCCCGTGACACTCCTACAATGCAGCCAATGCTTCTAGAAAACGTAGATGTGGCACCATCTCGAGGCATCTGTGTAAAAAAAATGACGCCGGAGCCCGGTCGGTTCAGTCACTGGAACATATTCTAGTTCACTAGAATCGTTACAGCCCAGGCCGCTTAGGATGTGAATTGGATTAGGTTGACCTGTATTTACTGATTCAACTACGTATTTAGGATGTGAATTGAATTGGATCTGTTGCGACACGGATTGCTGTGTTACTAATAATTTGCATCCCCACCTAAATTGCACATCTCTAATATATATTTTCAGGAAAAAAAAATCACTATTACTCGCATATTCTGTGCACCCCGCATTGAACAATTACTAACAACTTCGGAGGAACGGAGCCTTACTGCACAATGTTCTTTCCTTCACTTTTTTTCTTTTTCACGACAAGCACATGCATGTTGACGTTTTATTTCTCTGTGCTCCGACGCTTAGAGTTCGACAAAGTCCACAGATGCCTGCAATGAAAGCTAGCGGAACGTTTAAAGACACGATGTTTGAACATGTGCCGTCAAGAAGGAACCTGTCAGGGTGCAACAACTCCCTCGATTCTATAGATTTATTACAGATGCCGGTGGGTTACCTTTGTTCGTGTACTTTTCTATAAATATAAGGCTAAAAAAAAAATCACAGATTTAGTAATACCATCTCAAGAAACAGAAATGAGAAATTTAGATTAAGTTACCAAACTCTATACCCTTGAAATGCGAGCTACCAGCAATAAGTGTGTAGCTGAGGACATTTGCTGTTGCATCGCCAATAATAATGATAACAGTATTAATAATAATAAAAGACATGATGGACCGGCAAGCCTCTGCTAACGGCAGTCCTAGTCAAACCAGAAGGCCTTCAAGTCGAGCCAAATCATGGTCAAGACAAACATGCATAAATTTAATTACATGAATCACGTTGTGGTTGGGAAGTCAGATATGTTGTGTGATATGCAGAAACAACAGACATCAACATAGTGTATGTACGAATATGGAAGCAAGGGAACGCTTTAGACAATGTGAAGGACAAGCTGCCAAGTGAAAATTTTCACCGTCTTTCTTACTTTAGGTTGCCATATTGCCACGTTCCATTCCTCAAGTTTTGTTATCGCCCCAATACACTACACTATTCTCAGCGCAAACCGCACCTGCAGTTTTCGAGAAGCTTCAGGACTGTAGTAGATCATTTCGATAAGTTCACGCCCACTCCGCGAACTGTACAGATTATTCTGGAACCTACACCGCCGCCAGCGATAACGCTAGAACATTCGATGGCAAGAGTATAAGTTCCGACGCACTTTGCCACTTGTCAGTTGTTGATCGACGGCCGACGCTCCGTTCGCCGCTATCGGTCCAAGACTTACTGTAGTCCGACTTTCCGTTTACTGGGCACAAGTTCACCCAATAAACAATTTATTATTCGACTCGCAGTGTGCTCCATTCGTCCCCGTCACGACCCAGTGACAATATTTTGACAAGCAGTACATCGGTGAGACCACTAATTTCAAGGAAAAAGTAAAAAAAAAAACACGAATATGACATCATAAAACTACGCGTGATCTCGTAGGCCCTCGATAAACATGTCAATTCTACAGGCCACCAAACTGACTGGTCAAGTGTGCTAGTTCTGGACAAAGGAAAGCTTGCATCATGCCTGCGCCTGGAATCCCAGCATATGCAGACAATTGCACATATGCCGAACAGGAGTGATGGGTCGCTTCCAACAATGTACTTCCCGTGCTTACATCACGTACTTGGGCATACTTCACTTCATTTTTTCCTTTTCAGTTTATTTTTTATAAAGTTACAAAATCAAATATACAGGCGAGGGTCACTAAGTAAACAAAACAGAAAAAAACTTTAGTGGGACGCTGTCCCTTCTTATGGCTATTTTTTGTGAACAAGGCTCTCGCAGTGGGTGCCATATTGTCAGTAAACTTTGTATTCTTTTGGTAAGTGTATCCTTTCGCGTCTTCACTAAGAAGCAACAGTTGTCCACTGTTCTTTTTTTTTTTCCCCGCGACTTTTAGCTGTTCACTGTAGGTGCAGCCAAAAGAGTGGCTTTTTAAACTTCGATCAACGGTGCTGCTTATTTTTATGATGGTCACACAGGTTAAAGTCAGTTTCCACGACCAAGCCAGATTTTTCAGAAATTCCCCGACTTTTCCAAAAGGGTCTGAATTCCCTGACTTTTCCAGGTTTTCCAGGTTGGTAGACACCCTGCTGATGGGTCTGACAAGATTATGAGGTTACAACACAATGTGCAATAACCAACGTCATGCTTAAGGGGAAGAAAAAAAGCTTCAAAAACATTTTCGAGCACCCAGCTCACAAGGAAGCTCAACAGGAAAAATATTACCAGTGCAGCGAATGTTCACAAACCTATTGACACTTCCCTGTGATGAAACCAATGCTACCTAAAGAGAAAAAAAAAAAATCCCCCCATTAGCACCGAGTGTTCACAAGGACAGACTTGACTTCCTTATGACAAGATCACTTTAGCCCTCAAGACGTTTTTTTCCTGCTTAGCAGCAACAAAATGTAAGATACGCAATGTAATGGGTGAAGCCCCCAGTAATTCTTCCCAGTTCGAAAAGCATATGCCCAGTAGCCTGTGCACATTCTAGCATTCTTGCCATGATCTTATTGGGAACCTGACATATAAGAACACCTAATGCAGTATTTTGGTTCCATGGATGATCCCTTTACTGCCTTAAAAGAGTGTCACGGACAATAAATCTTTTCTAACCAATCTAAGAAACTGATGTACTGACGAGGTGGTGTAATCAAGCTTTTATGCTATGTGTTATTGTTACTAGTCTTTCAGGTGGCTCTTAGCAATGACTAATCAATCACGGCAATCGCACGATCTGATCAATGCGTTAGACGAGTAAAACATGGCGAGATCAAAAATTAGAAATTGCTGCCTACTTTATTGGAAAAATATAGGAAAGGAACCATTTTTCGGAATTCAAAACACAAGCTTTACATTTGGACTATACACATGCTCGTTATTGAATTACATATACATGCTGTTTAAACATCTTGTATTTAAAACTTAAATCATAGCTTGCGACTCTTAACTAATGCATTTTTAACCCTTTGTGGTTTGTTGTTGGGCATCTCCTGACAACACGCACTAACAAAATACTACTGAACAACTTGAGCACAATATCGATAGCAAAGATAAACATCCTATGAGTTTTTCTTGCAGTTTCTTTTTTTTTTTAAATTACGGTTCTCAAAGCTGGCTAAGTACTTTTGGATCGAAATGGCTGAAAAGTGGATAAATGTTTCGGACTGCTAACAGTCAATACATACATGTACTACCGTTTGCAAAATTTTTGCATGACCTGCATTCTGTGGCTGAGCGATGAAAAACTGTGTTGCTGCACCATCTACCGATGCACAGTACACTGTTGAGGCTATGAACCGTGGCCTTCGTGCTTAGTTCCGAAAACGAATGGTAACCAGAGCTCATTGCGGAGGCCACGACCAATAGCCTTGACAACATGCCGTGTGACGGCAGGTGGCGCAGTAATGCAGCTTTCCGTAAAGTCCCTGAAAAAATACTAAAGTAGCGCTATTTGTGTCAATGTGCAGGCTCCTCTCCCCTCGCATGCATAGTTGATAGTAAATGACGCTAGTTGAGGGGCAAAATGGCTCTTGGTTGCAAAGATGGGCGTGTGCTCATATTTCTGTTGGAGCTCATTTGGGCGCTGAATTCTAGGCGATGCACTGAAAGAGTGATTGAGGAAGAAGAAATATGAAAAGCAACGCTTATTACGATGATGTGACGTGCATATAAGCAAGTGGCATGCAGTGGCAAAAAACATCACCGGTCAGCAGTGACGCTCTCTATGGCAGCGCCATTACTGTCCATGTAAACTCGGCGGTACTAAATATCTGCAGCATGACGCACTAGCTTTTGTGAAGCTATCGCAAACGCCATATTGTTTGTCCACTTTTGCGAGCGTGCGCTCTTTGAACAGATGCCACCGGCTTCCCTTTTCAGCATATTCGAGGCACGGCCACTCGAACACACGGCGCAGCAGTGCCCGAGCTGCCCAAGCGCCTGGCACATCCACTGCATCCGCGTGCTTTCATATTTGTAGTTTCCTGGTGGACACTCTAGAGGCGCTGCTGTGGTTGCTGGGAGAGGAGGTAGAGGCGAAGGGGTGCGGTGCGGTTGGTGCTACTTTGGTTTTTTTCAGGGACCTTAGTTTTCCATTGTACCGCTATGCGCTGCAGATCTTACAAAATTTTGCAGCCGGCAGTACATTCACTCTTTCATAATGTCCCTATAAGGTTTTTAGATAAAACAAAACAACTGACTGTTGTCTGGCACTTCACACTAACATGCGTAAGAAATCAATTACTGGCTTATGTTTACTTAAAAGTTGCATGAAGCAACGAGGCTACGTCACTCTCTAATAGTCTTCTGTGGACAAAGCACTCACCTTGCCCTTGGCATCGGGACAGAGAGAACGATGGAAGGGCACAAGGTCCTCCTCCGAGAGCAGGTAGTTTCCGAGCAGTGCTGCCAGCACGCAGAAACGGTTCGGGTGAAGGTTGAGGCTTCGAGCCACTTCATCTAGGATGAACTCCCGCGTCTCCAATGAGCCCTGGAAGCAAGAAACCAGGCAATGGTAGCCGAGTTGCCGGTGTTTGAAAGATTGCAGAAGTTTACCCTTGCATAAATGCAGAAGGAGTCATCAGGAAAGGCATAGTAGAGTGATGCAGATTAACACTGTTCACTCGGACTCTTAACATGCTCTCAAAATGCAGGACGAGAGCGCTGCTGCATTCTCACTTGATTGAATTGCATTCATTGGGGTGGGCAATCGAAGCCTGGAACTTAAGCTACGCAGCAGACTTACTCCGACACTTGACTGTCATAATGGGTTTAGGGCAATCGATGTGATACCATCAACAGTAAAGGTGACAGACGAAGTTGCCAATAATCCATGTGCCGGCAGGAAAAAAAAAAAAAACAAGCAAAAATAATTTTTTCATATAGGATGCACCCTGATAGGATGCAAAGCAGTTGCGCACAGGTGGTGTCACGAGTTGAACGGCACTAAGACGGGTGGTGCGGGGAGCGCTGGAAGATTTGTATGAAGCGATGGCTGGCGTAGGTCTTACAGGTGACACGTACAGACATGTTTCAACGCGTATGTTAGGTGCACGTCAGATTTATTAAGCGCGAACCAAGAAGTGGGCAGTGTAGCAAGGGGCGGTTGCGGCAGGTGTAGCGGGCGAACGGACAAGGCAGCAGCTGCTGGCTCTGCGGCAAGTGCGCAGCCTGCAGCAGGGTGACCTACTTGGCACTGCGCCAACAGCTGTGGCACGCATTCCTATGAAGAGACAGCGTTACAGGCTAGTCAAAGAACTGCTTCGCATCTAATACTGGCAACAGTGCTTCTAGTCCTTACTTGTTTTACTACTCACAGGTGTCCCAACGCAAAAAGACTAGCACTAGTGACCAACGAAAATTTGGGAAAAAGAAAACCGGGCCGCGGGCAACAACAGGACAGCACAGGTACTGCGCTGCTGCCAGACCTCGCATGTGAGGGGGTTATTTAGTCGGCCACTGCACCCTGTGAAAACCTGCCTTTCGTTTGAATCGCCGGCAGTACGCTATCACTTGGAGAAAAGCTACAAATAGCTGCCATCACCCTGTGCAAAAAAAATGAAACTAGCCCAGTGCCCTCATCTTCTTCAGTCACTGCTTCAACCCACTTTTACAAACCTTCTTCGAAAGTCACTACATGCATTTCAGAATTTTGCAGCCTACGACACTATTGGTGCTCATGTACTTGTTTTACTCCTAGCAAATACTTTATCTTCCTGATCACTATCAGGCTACGAAAAGCCTGGCTATGGCTTCTATTTGTTTATTATTTATGCATACGAATTGTCTCATAGGCTCCTAGGTAAAAGCAGTGTGTGAGGACAGATTACATACATAGTAATAATAACAGGAGCATCACTACCTTGTTATATTAAGTGTATCGGCTGTAAGCATGGAACACTGAAAGGAAGGAAGAAAAAAAAATTTACACCGTGGTCAAATAACAGTATTTACAAAAGACCGCTGTACCTTTGGTCCGAAAATTGGTTGCATTCACTTCAAATGCCGATGATGTGCTAGAAATGATCAAAACTGTGTAACACAACAGCTTTTGCTCAATCCCCTTCAAACCTGCATGAATCGTCGAACTGAAGGCTTTACAAAATTAAAAATGACTGAGCACAACTTGTGTTGAATTGTTAAAGCGGAACTCGGGAAAAGGAGTATTCGATGTGCATCAGAGCAAGAAATGACAGATATTACAAACAGGCCCTCGCCATGCAATGCTGCATGCACCTTTTCGATCATTTTTTACCTGTCTTCCCCCCCCCCCCCCCAAAAAAAAAACGCAAGAGTGCCAGCCTTTCCCACTTTATGCTGCGCACGAGGTTATATTTAGAAGCGGAGGGACCGCTGGCTCTGCGTGTCGTCTGAAAGCCTGTGGCGAGCATCAAACATGCTACACAGACTGAGGAGGATTTATGTAAAAAGAAAAAAAAAAAGGCAAACAAAGTGCACTGGCATCTAAAGTCTATGTAAACGTGCTTGAAGACAGACAACCATGTGGGAACTCTGCACATTCTCTAATTACGCCAGCAAGAGCCCTCCCCCCCAAAAATTTGTCCACGAAGCTTCATCCGCTTCATGCACGAACTGTTTGAATGTGTGGAGGCAGACGGCAGTTGGCAGCATTCCGCTAAGTTTCCCACTAAAGATCGCCAGAGGAAACTTCAGCGTTGCAACCTTCAACTAACCAAGGAATAATGGGCAGTGAGGATTTGTTTTGGCTCCATGTTAGCAGCTTCTCAAGGACTTGTAGATATACTGATTATATTACATCTTGCTTAACTTACATGCATTAGTAATTTTATAAGCACAAGTCAATTAATCGCAGCAAGTGTCAGCGATCACTGCGAATCACTGCGCTTATCATGTGACACTGCATAAAAAAAAACTACCAATCTGCAATGACGCTCGAGATTGGACGCATGCAGTTTAGCCAAATCCACATACTATCTATCCTTGCCACACTAACTGAACCATCATCCCTGAAGTCTTTGTTGACACTTGAGCACCAGAGTTGCCTGTGGTAATTTTTGCGGGAACAGAACTAGTTGAATGCAACCCAGATTTCTGCTCTTCCAAAACAATAGAGAGAAGCAAGCCAGTCACTCATGCCTTTTATGCAAGGCCAGGTGGGGAAAAAAAAAGAACTGCTGGAACTGATGGGAATTTGACAGTTCAAAGTTTCCTTGCATGTGTTCTGGCAAGGCTCTGGTGTAAACTTTAGATCATGGTTTAAATTCGACATTACTGTTCTCTCAAGTCAGCTGACCTGTCCTACCGTGTACCATTTATGTGGTGCCAGACAGATGACCTTTCGATTGCGAATAAAACTGACTGAGCATGAAACAAACAGATGGTTTTCGTCCTTCAGCCATCTTAGGCAAATGCATCAGGTGTATGCGAGTTCTTAAATTATCACATGCAAAAATGCCAAGAAATTGACAGTAAAGAGAGGTATGCAAAGGTTTCCAAGGATTTCAAGGAGAACTACAAACATTGCACACTAGTTGCGCTTTACCTCTCAACCCATAACTAGATGAAAGAGGTGGATACAGTGTTCCTTGCAAATACAAGGAAAACAGTCGCAAGAAAAGGTCTGTCTTCTCAGAATTCACATTAATTTCAAGGCACAGAAATAACAAATCAGGAAGTAGTCATCCTCCGCAACGCACTGCCACATCTCTCATATCAGCTAAAATCATAGAACCAAAACTACGAAATATATGATTACAACTTAACAAAATGAATCCTAAGAATGCAATTCATAAAGTGAGCACAACTGCATAAGTATACTCGGCTTCGTGCAAAGCAGAACAAACATGCAAGCAAAAATGTGATACTAGACTGTAAAGAATCACCAGAACGCTGTGTGACCTTTTCTGATGCAAAATGTCACAAGAATTAGCATACAAAGGGCTGCAATCCACCTGACTGAATGACACATGTCAAGGTCAGAAAGTGACACGTGCAAAATTGGCCAGTACTTCAGTACAACTACAGGTGCATTTCATGAAGATATGTTATGGTCCATAAAAGATTAGAAATGAGCTACGAACAGGAAGCAGAAATGCCATAAACCTATTTTACAGTCACTAAGCTTAGCTGGATGATTCAAAGATTCAGTGTGAGCATTTAACACACGCCGCCCCTCTAGGGATCAGAGCCAAGCACCAACTGCAAAGATCGTTGAAAATAAAAGACTCACCAGGAGGCCTTTCTCTCAGTTTAGCGAAAGTTAAATCGCCCGTGCCATGTGCAAACATTACATGGAACTCCAAGTTCAAAATCACTCTTTCCTAATGACGTAGACTACTATGATATCCCCACTTTTAGCACATTAAATCTGCTATGAAAGCCTCATAGAGCCCAGTAAGTTTACATGCTGTCCTCGGAAAAATGCTTGCCACACAAAATTACATTGAAGTTACACCTAGTTGTTGTATCTTCTGTAGAACAATTCCAGCTTATTAAGAGATGTATCCTTAGCATGAGGCTCGAATAAGGAGGAAATACAAGCAGTCAACGAATGAAAAACTGCAACAATGTGTCACCACATGCGCAGTCCATTACATCATAATTCCATTATCTACATTCATTCGGCCCTATGCATGTGGCATGACTTTGATTGATATGTGGGGTTTAACGTCCCAAAAGCACCATATGATTATGAGAGACGTCGTAGTGGAGGGCTCCGAAAATTTCGACCACTTGGGGCTCTTTAACGTACACCGAAATCAGCACACGGGCCTACAACATTACCGCCTCCATCGCAAATGCAGCCGGAATTCGATCCCGCGATCGGCGGGTCATTAGCTGATTGCCTTGGCCACTAGACCACCGCGGTGGGGCGTGGCATGACTTTTTAGGGCATTTCTGTGTTAATGTGATTTTCCTTGTCCATAAGGCAATAAGCCTTCTCAAGAATTCGACACAGACTGCAACTGTACCAGCATTGATTATGTAATGACAACAGCATTATGCTTTTTGTCAACTGAATTAAGTGAGCAAGTAGATGGGGATGTGAAAGCTGTATCAACACAACAGTCTCGTCTTTCAGTATTAAATTAGCTCACACTAAACTGTCACTTTATAAAGATCCCAATATGAACAGCTACAAATTCATGGTAGTTGCACTTTTGAAATGCACTTGAAACCTAGAATGCATTTATCGTTCATTCAACAGGACAACATTGGAAACCGAATGTTTGACGAAGTGCAGCTGAGCAATGCAAGAGTCGAGAACTGACCAACATAACTGATTTTGTTTTTATTACAAATTCTTCATCATTACCCCTTCCCAATACGCTGAGGCCTGGTTTAATTCTACCGGTCAATACAACGGCAGCAGATATCCGCAAGATTTACTATGTCAGAATGAGGAGTATGCAGAGATTATGCTTAATTATTCTAAACAAACCAGAAAGCGCGCAGAACAGATGACAAGTGCCCCCGTTTGGAAAGAGACTATGAAATCGTGGAGAATTTTTTTTCCGAAGGAAAAATAAATGCCTCAACAGCCGCTATACGACCATCCAATCTATGAACATGTGCATATAAATTTACTCTCGCTGTCAGCTGCGAGTGCCTGAAGCCAGAATAATCAGTAGGCTGCCATATTCTATTTATTCAGAACAGGGCATACCGCAGCTGTTTTAAAGAAAGGTTCAGTTCTGGTCAGCATATTATTGTGATGGGGCATTCTGGCAGTCTTTATAGCATGCTACGATAAACAAGCGCAGTGGCACACATGCAAAATGTTTATTAGTTGCAGTGCACTGTTGCAGAGCGGACAGAATGAAATGGTTTCACGCATCGCACCCAAGACATGACAACCTGGGAAATGCAGCGCACCACAGATTACTTCACTAAAAGCACCCTGTGAAATGTAGTAGTAACCGACGTCAGGGCTCTCATTAGAAATCGCAGTGGCTATGAAAAGCACCAGGTCAGCTTGGAAGGCCTGTTGATTTCGTAATGTGGTGCGTAAATGGAGGTGGCGTATGAGATTACCCGCTCGAAAAATGGCATGTCGGTTAAAGGCTTCGACTGTAATGCCTTACAATTAGAACAGCATAAGTGACGCGGTGCTCCTGTTTACAAACTTGTTTGTATATGTGATGTTTTCTTTGTACTTGTACCATGAATTTGTATGAGCATCGAAATGACCCTTGGACAGGCAAAAAATATCAGAAACAAAATAAAACCACCCACAAATTCTGCCACTTCACTCACTTCTGAATGCATTCGTTCATATCCCATAGAGAGATGCAAGCAACCATCCCAACAAGAAAGTACTAGCATTTCACGGCGTTAAATGAAACGCACGTAAGATTGTTGCTGCAGCACTAGGCAATTTATAGGAGCCATAAAATGTCTCTGTAGTGACAAAAGTAACTACAGAAAATACCAATCTTGTGTTGCTCAAGTTGACAATGCATAAACTGGTTCATCATCATCATCATCAGCCTGACTAGGTCCACTGCAGGACAAAGGCCTCTCCCATGTTCGCCAGTTAACTCGGTCCTGTACTTGCTGCTGCCAATTTATACCCGCAAACTTCTTAATCCCATCTGCCCACCTAACCTGTTCCCCCCTAACCCGCTTGCCTTCTCTGGGAATCCAGTTAGTTACCCTTAATGACGAGCAGTTATCCTGTCTACGTGCTACATGCCCGGCCCATGTCCATTTCCTCTTCTTAATTTCAACTATGATATCCTTAACCCCCGTTTGTTCCCTAATCCACTTTGCTCTCTTCTGGTCCTTTAAGGTTACACCTACAATTTTTCTTTCTATTGCTCGCTGCGTCGTCCTCAATTTAAGCTGAACCCTCTTTGTAAGTCTCCAAACTGGTTAAAACTGATTAAAAGGAAGCAAAGACACGGCGCCGTAAGCATTAGCCAGAGCCCCTGCTTCTGCAAGCTCCCTACAAAGTGCCTCAAGGTAGTTCCTTACCCCATGCGACCTTCTTCATGAACAAAGATACTTTTAAGTGGCCTGAAGCGATAAACTGCCTACTGTTGTCCTACTCATTACCTTCAAGTACTGCATTTTAATCTATCTACATGCGTGATAAAGAGTGGAGACTGTTATACTATTTCACTCACTTCAATAGACCTAAGACATGTATAGTTAACGTCCCCATTTGCGTACGGCACAACTTGAACGGGCATGCGCAGACTGCGGCATCGGCCGCCCAAGTTGGCAAAGAATGCATTACACACAGCACCGCTACCCGTCAACTCGGTATATCGCAACTCGTTTACAGACTGAGGAAAAAAAAAAAGAATTCAAGAAAGCACGCACGCGGCGCCCAGGCTACGACCACATGTAAATGGCCTAGCGGACGATTACGTTGAAACCACATCCGTATAAAAACACGGCCCCACGAGTATTAGGCTCTGGCACGAGGAAACGTTTACCCAAATTTGTATCCTCTCAGCAACTCGCAGATAAAAAAAGTCCACCGAGTCTAGCGTCGCCTGTTGCGCGGTTCTTTGTCGTGCAACACGTGCGATCGTTGAATAATAATTAAAAAAAAAGTGCAGGGCTTGTATTGAGCGCTGTACTTCGACGATTTTGGTCAATACTCGTTCAGTTTCAACCCGTTCGACTGAACAGTCCAAGTGATCGAAACGTCCGAATGTGGAAACCAACCGCAATGAATGAAATGAATGGCGCGTCTCATTTCCGCCCACCGAAGGTATCGGCGCCTTCGGAGATCTCGCCGGGGTTGTCTGGAACTTTGCCCAGTTTTATCTTTCTGCAATCGTCTCATTACTCGGCGTTGGCTTCCCATTTCCCTTTCGAGAACGCTCCGGCAGTGAACAATGCATCGCGCAGTCTGACGTGACGCGCAGTTGAAAGCACGCAGCATGTAGATCGCAGCACAAGGAACAGCTGCGTTATATGTTCAAATGCTGCTAGCGCGCTGCGGGTTTCACAAACAACACTCGCACTGCGTTGAAACCGGCAGCGATCGACGCGGCTTCACGAAACGGCGAAGACCCTAACAAAACACGGAAGACAGTTCCGGGAATGGATTAGGCCTAGCGAAGCCGGCTCGCAGTGCTAACATTTTTTGAGCGAGTAGGCCTACGACACACCGTTCGGGCACCGGGTGTTTGAGTCAGTTTGAGCGCGCCGAAAACTTCGCTCGTGAGAGGAAAGGTCGGGGCCGGCGCGAGCTCGGCGAGGAGGGTTTGAGCGAGGGCGGCCTCACCTTGTACGTGAGCTTGAGCTGCGCCGATGAGAAGTATCTCGGCGGGTCGAAGATGGCGTACTCGGCATCCTCGGCCATCAGTCCGTGGAAGCCGTTTTCGCGGCAGAAGGCGATCACCTCTTGCCGGTGGTCGTCCATGCTGCACATGACGGTGACATTCAGGTGCCGAAGCGCCATTCGCAAGCAGGTCCTCAGGCAGACGGGAGCTATCCACCACACCTTGGGCGGCGGGGTGGCCTTGGTCGCCACATGCTTGAGAACCTGTCCCACCTTTCGTCGCTCGGCCTGCTGTTGCCGGTGCCACTCTTCGAGCCGCTGCGGTTCCAGGCTCCCGTTGAAGAAGACGGCGAGCTCGATGTTGTTGTTCTGTATTGTTTGGATGAGAACGGACAGGAACTGCACCATGCGATTCCATTGGCCTCCGCATACCCAGTCCGAGAAGTAGCCTCCGTAGAGACGGTCCAGGCAGCACTCGCCATCGACTACTAGGCACAGTCGGTTGCCCGCGGCGGGTAGACGCGAGTTCGCGCGACCCCCGGGGCGTCGGACCGCGGCGTTTCGCGCGATTTTCAGCAGGTCCACAGGAACGCAGGCGCCCGGGCAGTTGGCCTCGATGAACTTCTGTAAGGCTTGAATACCCATGGCTGCCTTATCTCTCCTCTCGGGGCGCCCGATCAAGCGCGGAAAGACACGCGCACAGGGCGGCTTGCAACACTACGGAGCGGAGCGAAGCGGTGCCTGTCGCCGGTCAGCGGCCATCTTGGCAGCGGCTAGTCCGGCTCGTCATGTGGCGAGAGAGAAGCAATGCACCGCCGCGCTGGGAGACTACACCCACCGTCGCTTCGCTGCGGGGAGGCCTTGTCGGCGTCTCACCTTGCGTCCGGTCGGACGAAAACGGATTGGTAGGACGAACGGCCACACGATTGCGGTGTGCTCGTCTATCCGATCCCACGGAGAGCAGCGGAAACGAGTAGACGGGATATTTTCACTAAGCTAGCTAGACGCACGCACGCGCGCACAGCCGAGAATCAAGTTCAATGAGCGACGTAGGACCGCTGGGGTCGAGGGTAGATGACATTTACCGCGGGGGGTTTTGTATTGTTTTTGTCATAGCCTCCTAGATTTTCCTTGCCTGCCGAATAAACGCAAAACGCCGGTCATTTATGGCGGCGCTGCCTACGTAGGTGTAGGGGTCTTTGCACTCCACCTGTGAGATTGGCAACTTTGGCGTTTGCTACTAAATTCAGAGAATGCCTTGTATTGAAAATGTTGCCTGCTGAATGACGGTTTCACTTACGTGGGGTAAATTAAAACTACGTTTATCTTTTTTTTAAAACTTCTTACGTTAATTATGTTGCATTTAAGCTCCAAAAACGTAAAAACTTACTTGAAGACACCCCTACTTAGGTGGCGCCATCACCATAGTTCCGACGACGGCCGCTTTTTAGGTGACCGCCGATAATCCGGCAGGCAAAATAAATCAAGGAGGCTGTGGTTTTTTTATCCATTTTCATTAGGGTCGTAACTGAAAGCATGTCTTCGCACATGCCAGTAAACAATGAAGTACTTAGCGAGTATTTCAGAAAACCTTTGAATTTACACTTGAGTGTTAAACATTTTGTTTTGTTGTTTATTGACGCAAAATTTGTGCAAAATGGTTTGTAATTACTCTATTGAAGTGCAGTGTCGGTACATTTCTCTACATACAACATGTAAGCCTATGAAATGTGCAACTTAAACTCAGAGCTTATTACAATACAATACAACTCCATCAGAATCCGTTGTACAAGATGCATAAAATAGGCAGTCACAGAAAGTTTTTGTCATAATTGGGTTAACTTGCGATAAGGAGTGCCCCACAGAATTTCATACAATTCTTGTGCGGCTGCATATCTCTAAGGCTTGTGTCATCTTGAGCAGCGACTTCCTATTTAGATGCCTGCCGCATGACGAGAAAAACAGCTGTCACACTCTTTTCCTCCTTCATTTGTCAGTTTTGTTGCGAAAAGAACAACTCGGCATTTTGCGTGGCCTCAGAAATGGTCATGTATAATTGCAAATCTCGAATAACTTTCAACTGACGCGCTCACGTGTCATAAATAATGAATAACGCCGTGATGATAGTGTTAGTCGCAAGCGCCATCATGAAGGCAGAGCGACTCCGCTGGTCACACGAGCCATTCGTCAGGCATCTTAATAAAGGAGGCGTTGTTTTGGGCATATCTTTTTCTGGTTCCCAGAGGACGCCACCTTACCAACTAAAAGGAGGTGACATAAAAAAACGCGGTTAATTTGGTTCTTCGATTATGAAAATGGCCGTGTGACCGTCGTGGACGCTATGGCGTTAACTGGCCCGGAAGAATTCAGGCAGAAGTCATCACCGAACATAATCTACTTCTTTTTCTTTGCTTTCGCTGGCTGGCCGCGTTTATTATATTTTCAACAACTGTATTTGTAAAAATCATACAAGCCTCCTGGCGGGAATTCAAGTACCGATTATTGAAAAAAAAGTAAAGGCAAAGATAAATTTCTCATTACGCCTGTTGGTTTTTCTGAACGTGTTTACCTAACTTTCTGTTATGTACACATCTTGTTTCGTTTTCAATAACCGTTCAAGTTCAATTAGTAAGCGCTTGTGTCGTCGCCGTTCTACTTGTGTCCTCGTTTCCTTCTTGCGATTTTTACAGCGAACGCTGTTATGAGATCACAACTAGGGTTACGCGCAGTTGTCCGCTGCCGCCCCCGGTGTCCGTCACTATATCGCGCGAAATCAGAAAAAAAAAATGCACTAACGACACATTCGGGATTGAAACCGGGTCCACTGTGTACTTGCCCAGTCTTTTAACACGGAGTGGTGATGCAGGCTAGCTGCTTCAGCGTCGGACCCACATCATCGAGCGACATCTTTGCCTCAGCGAGACGTAATATTCCGTGTAATCTCCTTTCGGCCCCCTCAGTTCAATCTCGATGTTTTGTTCGCCCCGTACACTGTGAGGTCTTTTGGGCTGTCTTTTTTGAGTTGATGTTGACTATAGTGCTCGTACTTAAGTATGAGTTTGTATCCGTCGTGCTCCTTAGTCTTTCATTATTAATCTGTGTCTGGTCAAGCAACTTGTCGATTTCTTTACTAGTGTTATCTTTGATTTTGTCCTATTAGTCCTCGCGTGACAAACTTGACATAGTTCCTTTAAGCTTCTTCACAGCGACGATCAGTGAACAACGCGATAAATAAACTTACTTCATAGGAAAGCGGACGAAATCGGCTTAATTTAATTTGAATGGACACCACTACAACGGCTTTTTCCAGGATAGGTAGAGGTGGTCGCAATATTGGTTGCGGAATAGTAGGAAGCAAGGACAAAGTTAATCTGGCATTGAAACTGTTTCTACTCTGCCGTGAAAGGCAGAATGCTTAAATATATTTCGAAGAAGTTTTTCCTCATTAAGAAGGAACATTTACTTCAGGCATAAGACCACTGGGCAAAAAAAAAAAAAACAGAGCTTGTTGACACATTGCTCACCAAGGCACCGTCCCATTCGTGGCCTATCCTATCCCCCTAGGTGGGTTGCGCCAAGTTGTTGGGGAACCAGCCAACTCCATCCTAATAGGGACTCTCATAGCACCCATCAATTCAGAAGAGTTTAAAAGGGTCCTGCAACACTTTTTAAGCATATAATATAGCTGGGCAAATGGCCTGGAACTTACAATCAATTTTTAAAACCAGCAAGAATGATAGATTGATTTATATGTGGGGTTTAACGTCCCAAAACCACCATATGATTATGAGAAATGCCGTAGTGGAGGGCTCCGGAAATTTCGACCACTTGGGGTTCTTTAACGTGCACTAAAATCTGAGCACACGGGCCTACAACATTTCCGCCTCCACCGGAAATGCAGCCGGAAATCGAACCCGCGACCTGCGGGTCAGCAGCTGAGTACCTTAGCCACTAGACCACCGCGGCGGGGCTAAAACCAGCAAGAAATCGGTTTTCTTTTCTCTTGACAAGGGATGCTACATAATAAAAAAAATTGGCCCCGTATCTGCATGCTAATCTGCAAATGTCGTCGAAAGACGATAGTCTTGCGTGTGGAGAGAGTGGAAAAAACATTTATTCGATGTTCTGCGCAAGAAAATCGGTGAATGGTATTCTGGAGGCGCTGCGTTAGAATCATTGGAGTGTGCAGCGGAGGCGAACGAACGCATCAAGTCACGTCACACGCGAGACATGAGCGCTATCTGGCAGTTTTCTTGGAAAACCAAGCGCGTACGTGGCTCTGAGACGGGCGTGCGCGCCCGTCTCAGAGGTGATAAGGTGTAGAACGCAAGGCGACGGGTAGGTGGCACCACCGTCTCGTCTTAGCAAAGCGTTGGAAGCACGGACCTTTTCGTGCAAGCGTTGCATGGTCAGCACAGCGTGATAAGCGCTACGGTCCTTAAAATTACTTACACGTGCTTTTTCTAGTAAAAGACGCACATTCAGAATATATACGTGCTTTTATGGTGCCCCAGACATGCACGCGCGCAATAACTGCTTTTTGCACAAGTATGAACGCATAATTGCACAAGTATGAACGCTAAACCTTGAGCAACATTGGTGGGCGCTGCGGATGGGGTCGGTCGTTTCAAGTACCTGGTAACGTAAAGGGTGGACAAACAGACAAATGTACAGACAGACCGAAATTTTTGCGTCGAAGGTCCCCAATAAAGACTATCGTCTTTAGAAATGAGCGCGTCATAGCCATAAGTACCACGCCATTGGCTTATTCCAGTGTGCCGCGCACGGGAGTTAGTGGGGCAGCCGCGGGAATCCGCGACGTCTCCCCGCGGGCGCGTCCAATCATACGGGAAAGTGATCGTTCGAAAAAAGAGAGAAGACAAAAAAAAAGGCTTTACGTCACGAGGCGCGCGTGACGTACCTTCTTTCCCCGTGCTATCCCTCCGTGCTCAGCTTCCAGGGCTTCGATTCGCTGGGACGAGAGAAGAAACACAACAATTGAATCGCGCGACAAATCTTTGTAAGACCGCTTGCACTGTACGGGACGGGTTCTAACAGTTTTTTGCAGCGTTCGATTCGTGAGGCAATAAGCTCCAATACTGAATCGATCTCTTGGCTATACGGCGAAAAGTGTTGCAGGGTAAAGGGTTGGCCTGGTACCTACCATGTATTTCATGCCTTCTTGAAAGACCCATTTCGTCGGAAACTATATATACGGCATGTTAATTGTTTGGGTTTGTTTTATTTGCTTCTTCGGCGTATCTCAATGCAGTGGAGCTAGAGCGCTATAACTACACTTTATTTGTCGATATGTTTTGCCATTTTTATTTCTGGTGTCCATGCGCTACGGTTATCCCTGGATACCACTACGTGTTGAGCAGTGGAGAACGCTGCTGCCGGAAGATCAGGGTTTTCGCGTCGCTTTCACGTGTCCCTGGGGTGAACCTGCCGTATGAAAAGTATAGTTAAATTGTTTCTTGTTGTTTTTATTTGCAGCCTCCAACGTCCTTGCTTTCAACTTCGGATCGGACGCAGCAAACTGGATACTCACAAACTTTAGCTGAGGAAGTAAAATTTGTCACAACTTGTTTTATAAAAAAGTCGTGAAGAAACGAGAAATATTTCGCAAACGTACACCGCTCGAGCTTATTAGCTACATTTTGATGTATGGTCTATTTTGGTTTAAAAAGTCAACCTTCCATTTCTTATGTTGTTTTCATAATCTAGCAAACGTAACAAAAGAAAGAAGGGCGATCACGCGATATTTCGAGTTAAATGAAAAAAAAAATCGGTTTGTTTGTTGTTTTGTTCAAAAAGAAGATGCCCTGAACAATTTAATTAACGGCAACGTTTTATAGCGTCATCTCACAAATCTGCTTATTGTTTTTTTTCTTGTTTTGTTGTTATAAGATGACTCGTTTCGTCATAGTTTCTGCTTCTCTAATGGCCAAACACTGTCGATGGTGGTCCATCTCATTCAACCATGTACCGGAGTTGCGCATCGGTGATATGCGAAAGGACCCCGAGGACGTATACTGGGGCAATGCAGGCAGG